GAACTGAAAAATCGAATACTCATCCCTAATTTAGATGGACCAAGTAGGTGACATATATAGATTATTATGAGCATGCCTTAACAAATGGTGTACTTAGTATTCAAAGAGGCACAGATCCTGGAGTAATGATTTATATGCTACTACTAGGCCCTGGGGTTTCAAAGGGTAAATCTGATCACGGTTGGGGAACTAAGTTTGACTCTTCTTGGTGTTGTTATGGAACTGGTAATTCAAATATTTTGCCCATCAAATAAGCTCAAATTATATCAAACTACTATATATCATTTCACAACTCTGCATCTCTACTATCTTTTCTTTCTGTGTCATCTTTAGGTATTGAATCATTTTCAAAGTTGGGGGATTCTATATATTTTGAACAAGAAGGGAGCCTAACATTTTATGTAATCTAATACATATCAAGCTCATTTAATTAGAGATCTAGGGGTCTCATGCTTAATCAGACTATGGCTCCTACTTCATGGGATCCTTACTTAAGAGTCAACTACACATTTTCTCCTGCTACGGTACTTATTGCATTGTTCATTAAGTGGTTGAATCCTCAAAAACGAAATGTGCAACATTTTTTAGGGAAATATTTTGTTTGACCTTTAGTATTCACAATGACGTAATTTTTTCCCTATGGTAAAAGACTTTTTTTTTAATATAAATAAAGCTCTTTTATGATTACATGTTATTCATCTTGCAAAACATAGGAGCCTAAAAAAAAAAAAAAGGATTGTTCAATTTAAGCCGGGGGACCACAAAACACAATTATTTCTTGTATATTTGGAGGATAAGAAGTTTTTATGAGTGCATAATACTTCGACTCTATTTTGTGGACATATAGGAAATTTTTTGTCAATCACAAAAAAATGGAGTGCCGCTGATAGGCTCACCCTTCAGTTTCCTCTTAATATTAGAACAGAGGCTATAAAAGGTAGAAATCCATGTGTGCTTTTTCACTTTCGTTGCATATATGGAGAAAAAAGTTTTTATTGTTGACATTGTGTTTTAAAATTGAATTCAATTGATCAGATGACATATCAGAATATACTTCTATTCAAGCAATTATTTATGGTCCTTATCTTCTTATCGGTCATACTACTAGTGATTGGGATATTAAAACTAGATCAAATGCATCTACTGCTAACTGGATTACTACAATCCCTATGACTTACAACAACCAACTAGCGACTTTTACCAAGTCATTTCAGGCACAACTTTTGCTTTAACAAACTCAAATCAATCTTTGACCATGCAAAACTCTCCTGCACCAGGCACAAGATCAGCACCTTATGCATGTTTTAGACTTATTTCAAGTGAACCCAACTCATAGTTTTCAATAATGAGAGATTCTATCGGTAAATCAGTGATGTTGGAACCATATGATTTCTCAAAAAGCTTTTAATATACCAAGGAGCACAAAATGGTCTTGTCAATGGTGGAGTCTCTAGTGTGTTCAATGTGGTGACAAGATTTGATGCTAAAAAAGGAACTATATCCTTAGAATCCAAAAACAATAAAGGTTGCTTTGTGTGTAGTAATGGTTCTAGTGCAAGTGTGAAGCTTGGATGCAAGTCTGGTCCTGATGCTAACTTCAACCAAGCTGCAAGTTTTCTAATAATAGAATGACTAAGTCAGTATGATCCCATCAATTTTGTGGCTAAAGGAGCAAAGAGAAATTTTGTTTTGGAGGCCATTATATTCCTTTAGAGATGAAACTTACACGGTTTACTTCAACATTCAAGCTTGATAGAGATTTTCTTTTCCTCCCTCTTGTATAGTACTTTATTGAAGTTCTTCTTTGTGTCCTAGCGTATTGAAATATCTCAAATGGCAAGAATGATGATGATGCAATGTACAAGAAAAGTAAATGAGTAAATAAGAAAAATAAATGAGTCCTTAGTGTTTAAGAATTTTAAAGACATTTATATATTTGATAACATTTATAGACGCTGTTAATTCTTATGCTTTTACTACCAACTAATCCATCTTAGGGTCATGTCAAGATTTTTGGGGGTCCTAGCCAAAATTTATTGGAGGCCTGATGTATTGTAATTTATTTTTGTGTCATTTTTCTCAATTTTAAGATGCGAAGTTTATCAAATTTAATAATAAAATAATCTTAAGTTTTGACTCTCAATAAATAATATTTGTAATTCATCTAATATTTCTTACAAGACTGTTCATTTTATGGGAGATTTAACATTTTAGTTTTTGAAACTTTTTTAACATTAGTAAACCATAACAAATATTGTTAATTATAATTTATAAGTAATGTAAATATATAAAAATAGAATTTTTTTTCCTGCGTAGTTTAATACTTTCAAAGTCTTAATTTTTTGATGTTGATATTTCTCTTAATATCCTTAATTACAAATATAAGTTTTTTTTGGGCCAACAGTTATAAAGATAAGTTCAAACCACTAATTTATCTTTATCCAAAATTTCACATATTTGTTATTGAAATCAGAATAAATTAATATTCTGAAAATAATATAGAATAAATCCACTCATTTGATAGTTCTCTTCTTATTTTTTTATGTATTTACTAGAGTAAATACTATAATAAATACATGTGGGGCCGACATTTATGTGGGGGCCTTAGCCAGTTGGCTCAATTCCCTAAATACGCGTTGCCTTGATACACCTCCACATGTTTATGTGGGTTAATAATATTATTAATATTAAATAACAGTATTCACATCTTAAAAAAAATGATTATGTTGTATCAAATGATGACATCAATTTTGTGGTTAACGAGGCAAAGAGAAATTTTGTTTTGAAGCCATTATATTTTTTTAGATAGAAAACTTATACGATTTAATTCAACATTCAAGTTTGATAGAGGTTTTCTTTTCCTTCCTCTTACATGATACTTCATTGATGTTCTTCTTTGTGTCCAAACTTACTGAAATATCAAATGGGAAGAATGATGATGATGCAATGTATAGGAAAAGTAACTGTGTGGATTAACAAAAATGAGTCCTTATTGTTTAAGAATTTTAAATACATCTATATATTTGATAACATTTGTATATGTAGTTAATTCTTATTCTTTTATTACCAACTAATTCATCTTGAGGACGTGTTAAGATTTTTCTGAGCCCTCGGCAAAATTTATTGGTGGCCTAGTGTATCATGCTTCTTCCGATTCTTATTATAAACTAATTTACGAATAATGAATAATTATTTAAAATTAGTTAAACGCAATAAATTAGTTAAAAATATATTTTTGTTCTAAATATGCCCTTGTTAAAAATGAGAAAAGAATGATAAAAAGAGAATGTGTGAGGAGTGTAATAAAAAAGAGTGTGACAAAAGCAGAAAGATTAAATAATTAAGGAAAAAACTAAGCAATAAATAAATTAAATATTAAGACAAACTTAAATTAAAACTTATAAAATAGATTATTCCTCTTCTTAAATTTGAAATTTATAAATAAGACCGGAGGTGTGAAATCATTTTTCTAACTTTTATGATTCAATATTCATCAAATTCATATTAAAAAAGTCTTAAGTTTTGGCTCTCAATTAATAATAATGTTAATTAATCTAATTTTATCTTATAACATTGGTAATTTTGGATGGGATTTAAGTAATTTCAATTTTTGAAAAATTTTATAATTGATAAGTAATGCAAATATCTAAAACATATTTAAAATTTTTACAATATATTTTAATACTTTTAAATTTTTTATTTTGATATTTCTCCTAAAATTTTTAATACGAAAAATAAATTAAGATCATTAATTTCATCCTTATCCAAAATTTCACATTTGAGGGATTCAAATAAAAAATAAAAAACGAGTTATAGATTCGAATAAAAAATAAACAATGATTTATATTCTTAAAATAATAGAGGTATAGAATAAATCTATTAATTTTCTCTTTACTCTTCTTATTTTTTATATATTTATTAGGATAAATAATATAAAAATAGGGAGAATTAAAATGAAATCCCAAGAAGGAAAATAATGACAAAATAAGTCTTAGAAGTTGTTATCTCCTATTATGCAACTTATTTTGTTAGTATGGGCTGTTTAGATTGTTATTGAGACTTTTTAGTTTTTTTTTTTTTTGAGATCTCATTATTATTCTCCTATAAAAATAATTACTATTTGCATACATCCATGTGGGGCCTATATGTAGTAGGGGCTTAGGCAATTGGGTCAATTACCTTAAAGGCCCATGACCTTGCGGTCAAAAACGGTACTCACATTTGTACCCAAAAAACAAAAAAAGTACTCCCGTCTTTGAAAAATGATTATGTGTTGTACCAAATGAACAAGTTAACCTTTTCTGAATGATTAGTCATGTAAATATTTGGGCAGAACTTGCCGGAATTGCACTTGAATTTTGATCTTATCCCAACAAACAAAACCTAGGCCCCCTTATTCACGTGATTTATTTGTTGTAGTTTTTATAATCGGAGCAAAAATTGCATAGGAGCTATTCAAGTGTACCCGAGCACCTGTTAATCGTTTGACTAGAAAGATTATTTGCAAAAACAAATACATTTTAATCTTAAATATAAAATCCTAATTTTGTCTCCTACATTTATCTTTTTTTTAAAAAAAAAAACTCTTATAGCAATGATAGTTCTAACAAACACAAACACATTTAATTAATAAGGATATTTTAAGAAAAAAATAACACTTACTTGTTATAGATAACTAAACTAACTTGAATTAGTCAACAAACTCTTATATAGTTCATATATTAAGAACTAAAGGCACTATATTACAAAAATTTCACATCCAAGTGATTGACAATAATGCACTTCCGAGTGGAGGAACACGGATTTTTAAAATGTCGCTAGTCAAGGCAAATTCTTATGAGTGTGAGCTCGGAATCTACCTTTGAAAATCAGTTATTCAGACAAAGGAACGAGGTTTTTATATCAAAATAGACAACCTGATATCGCTGGGGGCAAAAATTTAGCAAATTTTATAATACTAAGTCTATCTGCAACGAAGGGGAAACAACAATAAACTAATGGCCGGAAATCAATAATATATAACTACAACTTTTATTAACAGCTTAAAAGCAGACGCTATACGGATATTGTAGGTAAATGAACACAAGTCCGATGTCCAACCCAACTCTACATACGGACAATAGATACCCGTTAATCCCCACACCCAATACCATTATAACAGAAGAAATTGATCCTCAAGATACAACATGAACAGAAGCCTATATGGCAGTATAATCATCTTCAGCTGAAGAACCCTGAGAGATAACAGTTAATATAACAAAAGCACCAAATAAGACAGTGATCACAGCAGTGAAGTTCACCAGCAATGCCTCAGAACCATATTTGGCCAATCCCGAGTTCTCAAGGAAAGTGAGTTTCTCCAGAAACCCAAGTGTAGCAGTGGCCACAGCCAACACATACACAATTAGCCCAAACAGAACATGCCATGGAAGTGACTCTTGTCTCAGAAATTGGGTCCCTCCAGGGAAGAAGAATGTCAGAAACCCATACAGCCACTACACAGCATATTATTACTCGTCAATAATAAAACGTCCATTAATTCACATTTATGTGTGGGGTATGAGGGTTAGGTGTGTAATAGTGGATATAAGGGCACAGTGGGGCAAAGAGAGAAAATAGCCACAAAGGATAGGTAAAACCCTTATGTCAAGAAGGGACCACCTGTCCTATATGTTTGCCTTTCTCTTTACAATACCATGCTGCTAAAGTAAAGAATCAAAGTTAAACAGCAAATAAAGACTCATTCAGATGAATCATAACGTGTCTCTATTCTATTCATAACTATTCCATTTTTGTGTCAGTGCTTCTTAGATTCCAGGAGATTGAAAGGTCTTCAAAAGAATACCGTTTTGATGAAAGATTGTGTACCTGAATGCCATAAAGGCCAATCACCGCAATTCCAAGCCAGGAATGCAAGCTGTATAGATTGACAATCCCACTTTCATTGTGGAACTTGAAGGCGCAATAGATTCCAATGATTCCAAGTGCTAGTGCGATGGCGTGCAGAACAAGATGTATCACTTTCTTCACCTCTTTCTTCAATGGAAGAGATTTGTAGCTTGTGATAGCTGCAATTGTCAATTTTTCACTTGTAAACGTGAGAATATTGAAGGCATGGGAAAATTAACAAGTCATTACGTCTCAGAGTAGAAATTCAACAACGTTCGCAAGTGTTCTGATAAGTACCTTCACCTCCGATAACAATCAAACCAATTAGCATAAGAACCGGATGGAGCTGTATCAAGAGAAAAGACACACCATGAGATTGACGTCAAAAACACAGAACTCAACGTGTGGCAATGCCGACTTTAATAATAGATCACTACCATTAATATAAAGTAAGAGAGGCTTATTAAATTAATCATGCACATCAACTTGTCCAATTAATTTTAAACTATGATTGACCCCTGATGCGTTGGAAACGTCATACATCATGGTTGTTCAGATCCGAAATCTATTTGTATACAAATCATCCAATGTTTTTAATCCAGCACTAACGGGGCTTTTAATTATTTGCCTAGAAGAAAGCAATACACGTGAACTAAAAGTCAAACTTCGTAGACGTGAACAATAGCGAAATTCTAAACTAATCTACTAAGACTGAGATGCTGATAAAACTCGGGGTTTTCAATGCGTCGCACTCTTGATAATCCAAAGCTACCAGCAAAAGAAAAAACCATACAGGAACATTATTTATTCACAATTACCACTAGAATTGGCGCCACATGGAGTAGTAGTACTACGCGTGAAAGTCATTTCAAATAAATCAGAAACAGCTAAGCTCAGAAGTGTGGGCACTCATCAAAAAGCCGACTAGAAAATTTAAAACTCCATCCATCACCAGGACTTGGGGGCCACTGGATAATCATAACCCAGTTTTCCATTTAACCTTTCATACTATGCACCAGTAAAATACCTACTCCTACCTATTCCTCTGATGCTATTTACGGGGCAAAAAGAGAAAGTTTTTTTCATCATGTTTATAAATCACTTCGTTAAATTTAAATTTTCAGTGAATGTACTATTTTGTCTTTTATTTATTATAGTATAAGTAGTTATCTTTTTGAAAAGTCTATATATTAAATATAGATAAAGTTAAAAAATTGTTATATTTTAATAAAGAGTTAATATGTTTTAAAGTTTTTCTTGATCTATGTGAAATGTGAAATATGCTGAAAACATCTTATAAATAGGATAAGAATAAGAAGGGTATTTCAGTTGAAACTAACAGACAGGTTAATTATTATGACTAGACTCCAGAAACGACATGACGGTAAGGATTAACTTGACTAAGAACACTGCAACAATAACAGGGGGGAAAATGAAGGGATCATAAGACGCGGGATTCCATCAGAAAGAACCTCAAATATAAAACAAATGAAGGAATTTTTATCTTAGCCAAAGTTATATCTTTCTCCTATAATCCTATTCATTCGGATATTTGCAAAAAAAGAGAAAAAAGCTAAAGCTACATGAGCAGGCCTAGCAGCCCCCAGGGAGTGATTTAGAAAAAAGGAGGGAAAGTTTAATGTGTCGGTGTCAAATATAGCGCGGAGGAATTATTGAACAATAAAGTAGTAGGAAGGTCATCAACGAGTCATCAACTACTACAACAATAATTTAATAATTTTTTGCTTGATAAGATGAACCAAAAAAAAAAAAAAAAACAAAAAACAAAACCAAAAACACTGAGACTGACGAAACGAAATGATATCTTGGTAACAAAATAAGATGGTGATCTGCAACTCTAAAACTAAAATGTGACACTACTGCAAATTGAAAACTAGATCACTCAAATTAAGCTTGACTAATCACTACTACAACTCGCTTCACCCCCAGCTCACGAAACGGCCATGTAAAGCGTCGTTTAAATGAAAAATGACATAATTTCTGAAATGGCCCAAAACAGCAAAATCGTTAGCGAATTTAGGAATAAGAGAGGAATAACGGCTAAGAAGAGGAAAAGAAGAAAGTACACTACACTCTGGACTGAACTGGAATTAAAGCAATCGCAATCCCTTGAGAATTCTCACGCATAAGCGTATCAGTGAGATTCCGAAGCTCCATAACCACATAAAATCGATGAAATTCGAAAGAAGAAGAAGAACAAGAATCAGTAAATTAAGTAGAAAATAAAGAAGGCAAAAGTTCTAAAAGGAATCATACGTTGAAGATGAGGCTCTTGTTGGAGGATTCCCAAGCTAAACCGCCCCTGAAGTGTATGTTCCAGACCAAGACCAAAACAATAAGAGCGATACCGAGAAGGTGAACGACGAAGGTGAAGGGAAGGGCACGCACAGCCAAAGCCATGTTTGGTGCTTTCTCTCTCTCTGTTTCTCGTTTCCCTGTAGCCTCCGAAAGAGATAACAAATGGCAGTAATTTTATATTTGGACTTCTCTTGAAGGGAGAAAAAAATCGATTTTTGCGCTCGAGTGATTACAAGCGTCCGATGGAGATCATCTTCTAGGATATCGCCGCGTGTACTCATGTGGTTGTGCCCTTCAAAATCCATATGTTTATAGCCTCGTGTCAGTGTTATCCACCCCACATGGCCTCTTCCTCTCATAATTAGCAGCAAAATGCAGAATTTGACAATTTGTCACTTTTGTATGGAAAGATTTTATTTAATTGACATAAATTCTAGTAAGATTTTATTTTATTTCATAAATATTTTTTTAAAAAATAAATAAACAATATATCGTTTTAAGGGCGTAGATATTATGTGGGCCTGGCAAAATGAAGACGTTGCAATCTCTAAGAAAAAACAAAGGAAAAAAAAAAGGGAGATGATTTATCCTTTTTTTTCATTTAACCAAGTCGTTTTCGCAATTGACTGACTTTACGTTGTTTCAAAAACTAGGGAATAAATTATAAAGACCCAAGCCCAACATTATATTTAACGCTAATTCAAATTTCATCTGACAAAAAAAAAGAATTAATTAAAAGCCAAAAGAATAAGCACTTTCATAAACAATACTAGTTCCAATTTTTAATATAAGAACTTATTTTATTTTTATTTTGATTTTAAATATAAAACTCCAATCCACTTTATCTCTTATATTTATGTATTTTTTCCTAAGATAGTCTTTTTAATAATAGCAGTTCTAACAAATACACTTAATTAGTAAAGATATTTTAGGAAAGACAATACCTATTTATTATAAATAACTAATTTAACTTATTTTTTTAATCTCCACAAATTAACCAACTAACTTTTATAATTAAGATCGGAAGCAGTACACCCGATAGAGAATATTGTACTTAAAAACATTATTCCTCCAATTAAAATGGAAAAAAGAATGGAATTATGATCATATACTTCAAAACAAAAGTTTAAAATAATTTATAAATAATTTATCAATTGTAATTTATGAAGCATGAAACAAGCATACATGAAAATTTTGTCTCAATTTATTATACATAAAAGTGCTTATAAAGACTTAAAATAAGGAAATCACGCAAGCAGCTTTGAAGTTTTGGGACGCGAAAATCATACGAGGAAAGCTCTGTCATGTACTCTAAAGAAGCAAAAAGGCCGAGGGATCAGAAGAATCACGAAACCACGAAGTCTCTGGGTCTAGAAGTGATGTAAGCAATGACGTTAGGAAGCTGGGACGGATATTTTTGGTGGACTAACGCTAAAAAAAACGTCACTTGGAGATTAAAACAACAGCAGTAGAATGCTCTATCATAATTTGATTTATACATTGCTCTCAATATACTGCATGCTGTGATTTTTAATTTTTTATGAAAATTGGTAGATATTATATGATTTCTTTTATTAATAATTTTATGTAAAGTTTTTAAACAAACATTTCTGAATAAATATTAAAATATTTAAAATAATCAACCAAAATATTGATTTTTTTAAGTTTTTAATTCATATAGGAATATTACATCTGGTTCTTAATACATAAGCTTAATTAATTTAGATGGATTAAAAAAATTAGGTATGTTAGTTATTTATAATAAATATGAGTTGATTTCCCTAATTAATCATTGTTACCCTTGAACGGAAATCCCCTTAATATATGTAAATCAATAGGAATACTTTAGAGAATAAATTATAAATTTAGGAGACAAAATATTTTTGAATCTTATATTTATAACCAAATTAAATCATAAACTAATTTTTATATTAAAAATTAGAGGTAGCATTTTGACAAAAAGGAATAGTTATACAAAGGGTAGAATGTGTTATCCGTGTCATGTGAGACCCTATATAGATCGTACTGAAGATGCTTACCAAATTCAATTGAATTGGGCCCATCAACAAAACTTAAACACAAAACCTTGTTTAATGAGAATGGGTCAAACCGACTAGAATAATTATTGTTGATAAATGAAATGACTATCTCTATTTTTCGATCCGATATTATGTTGCAAATGAAAATTGCCAGTCCTATTTCTTGATCATATGGTGGCAGAAAAGTATTGGGCTTATGAAAACATCGAGAGCGTCCTCTCATCTATAGCCGAGGGAATATTCCCTTGTTTTCTTTATCTTTCAATTTGGGCTTCTTGTACAAAGGCAGGCCCAATTGGATGAATTAATACAACGTGCAAAATGTATATTGTTATCTTGAATTAGTGGTAAGCAGCTTCGTACCGTTTAAGAGAGGTCTTGAGTTCGAACCTCAACATATGCATAAATCCCCATTAGGAGACTCACCCACCACAGCCAAGTGCGCGACGCGGGTCGGATCCAAATGTAGTCGGAGCAAAGCTCCGATGAACTGGGTGGGCAATCAAAAAAAAATGGTAACACAAACTAGTGAGTGTTTGGATTAACTGATAAAAGATATTCTAACTTAACCAAAGATCCACAGGTTTGATTTTAGTTTAATTTTTTTTAAATAACTTTTTTATTTTAAGAGATATAAAATTTTTTTAAAAATAATTTTATGAATGATACATCTTAAAAAATAAATGATTTTATCATTAAAAAGTTATATATTAAAATTTTTAAATCTGGACCAATCAAATCAAATTCTAAGTGGTTCATATTTCATTATAATGATGCTTATTAGTGTGTGTGATGATTGTTGAATACTGAATGAGGACTTGGAACAATCATTTATTTATACTTATAAATACATTTATCATAACTTAAAGATTATTCCACCACTGCTAACTAAAATAATTTGATGACGATAATCCCTGTGACTAAACAAACTCTTCTTGGATTAATCAGAGATCAGAACTACATGGTAGGAAATATAATAAACCAAAAAGGCAACAGAGACGAGGAGTGCCACCATGCATATGGTTTCTCAGATTAGTGAGATGAAATGATCAGTGGTTACAATACTTTAATTTAATGAAGTGTTGGCCCAAAAAACTTAATAAAGTTAAAGCTATAATAATTACTAGTCTACAAGGACAAATTCAACTAAAATATAATCAAATTCAAACCAATATAACCTGTTACTGAAGAGAATGAGATTAAAATTGACTTTTTAAGTTCAGCCAAAAGAATCCGGGTGAAATATATCCCCCCCCAACACACATACACATCCAATAAGACTATAACACCTGAAAATCAAGATATGAATTGCCAATATCATACTCCTCCAATCCTTAATATAAGACTCATTTAACTAATTTGATTAGATTAAGGAAGTTAGGTAAATTAGTTAATTATAAGAAATGTGACACATTTTTCCTAAAATATCATAATCATCTTTCTTAATACCTCATCTCCCTCTTTTACTTGATTATGGTTGAGGGAGTATCTATAAAGGTAATTTTAAGAAAATTGATAAATATGAAAATGGGTTTTATATTTAATTAGGACCAAAACCAACTCAACAAGTAGGTCTTATATTGAGGACCGAGGAGCTAGTTTTTTTGTTTCTTTTATCCTCGAGAAGAGGGGAATATAATAAACATAACATCATCTAGAGAACTCGAACTATTCTCCATCATACAGTTATAATATGTGTCATCCACTTGTATTCCACTTGTATTAATAATGTTATGTGTCACTGAAAGCGAAGGTTGAAAACGCTTCAACGGAAGGATGAACTCCAGAATATCGAATTTAATAATCCAAACCTCTTTGCAATGAGTCATGACTTTGAAATAAATATCGAGTAATAATACAACAATGTGCGAATTGACTAGCTACATATCTATCCAGTCATGATATCTATTTTCTGTTTTTGTTACACTGATTCTCTTTTAGATAATAAAGGTTTAATCGGTTTGGATAAATAAACTGTACCGTAATCATGGTATTAAAACTTAAACCAATTTTAAAAATCAATTTTTAAATCAGGTCTTATCAAGACTTGAACGCAATGTTGAATTTTATATTTTGTCCCTTTTTAAGCCTAAAATGATGTCATTTTAAGTTAAACAAAATAGTAGTTCATTGGATTCATGCTTTAGAAATATGTATGGTTTATACATGAATGTTCCATTTATTTGTGGATTAATATTTTTAATTTAAATATTACTCTTTTTAAAATTATATATAAATATATTTGTATATTTGAATTATGATTGGGTGATTCTACTACCTTAACTGGCTTAATGATTGGTTTGGTTTTAGTACCTTTGACAATATTAATATATACTGAACTAAATTTTTTTTAGGTTAACACTATTTTTAGTCCTTAAAATTTAACCTCAATTTAGTTTTTATTGTTGAAAAAAATTAGTCATTTTAGTCTCTGATACATGGTCCTTGAAATCTTAAACCAAAAAACCGTAGGCAGGAAAAAAACGACGCCCAATTTTAAAAATTATAACTACTGGATTCAAATTTTAGAAATGAAAAATAAAAGATATATCCAATTTTAAAAACTGAAAATGGTATATTAACCCTTTTTTAGTATAACTATTTCATAGTTTTTTTTGTTGTTGAATTTATTTCATAGCTTTTTATTTAAAAGAAGAGAACAGACATAAGACTACGTACAAGTAATAAACTTTTGGTTGGGTTCCTCTAGAGAGAGAGACATGTCCATAGCTTTCTCTGCGGATATGGTTGTCTCACTCATTTTTCCCTTTTCTTTCTTTCTATCCCCTGATTGATTTGAGTGGAAATTTGGATAAGAATCTTACTCTGGGGTCCAGATATAGTAATTGATGAGATCATATATTCGACACATAGAAGCTTGTCAAGAAAACATAATCGTTAATAATTTAGTGGATAAACGGACTTTTATTTGCAGCGAGAATATTCTAAATTTTCACAGATTGTGAGAAGCTTCTCAAAAATTAAAACCGTGATACTAAAAATACGGACCTTCAATATGGTCATCTTTTCTTTTGGACCAAAAAAAAAATGGAAATCTTTTCTCAACCATGCTCTATGTATCATTACTTCAAAAGAACCTTTTTCGAATCAATAAATAAT